GTATCCATTGGTCTTGACATATATCGGGGGCGACGTCGCCGAGGCATCATCCTATGATTGTAAATGATGCTGTAGGTTATCCGAGGCCTGGTCGCTGTCTGGGTAGTAGTCAAAGGCATCTATTTATTGTTGTCAAGGGAGACGAGAACCCATATCTTCTCTGAGATCACCAGGGGTGGTGTTACGTACCACTTTGAGGCAAAGTGGGATGACTCGTGTGAGCTGGAGGGGGGAAATTTTACCCAACGCCAACACATGGAAGCAACTCGGCGAGTCGACTGATGTGAAATGCATGTCATTATTTGAAACCAATTTTCAGTATTGTAGCAATGGTGGTGTCGGTGGCGAGATTATGACCGGTTGTGTGAAGGATACATTTATGTGTTGCCACCCGTGGAGCAACTGCTGCAGAATCACTACCATCAACTTCAAACCCTCACGCCTTCCTTCTGTTAGAAATTAATATGAAAATGACATTCTCTCCATCTTATGTGTCAGATTATTGCTGATTACTGAGCCATCCCTACATCTATATTGCAGCATGCATTACATGCCTGGCTGCTTCATGAGCTGCTTCCAATAAACACCGCCTGCAGCGTAGAGGCGAACAGCATCATTGCTATAGTAATAACAGCAGGGTGAAGCAACCTTTGCGTCACGTTCACTCTCCTAATCAATATTCCAGCACCTCAAATATGTCACCCATGTTGCTGTTTTGTCTTTGGGGTCTGCCAAAAACCAAGGGTGCGAGCGAATCCATGTGGGTATCGTCTGCTTCGACGCTCAGCGAAGAGCTGGCGGATATTGATCTCGTAGAGGACGGGGACGAAGTGTTGGATGGAGATTTGGGCGGGAGGCGCGCGAGGTAGGCTGATAGCAGAGCGTCCAAGTCGGGACCGCTGGGAAGCGTCGGCAGTACAGGCCGGCTTATTCTCCTGTAGTGCCTCGCAGAGGTAGGCAATGCCGTCCTCGGACGCGATAGTAGGGCTGGAGCCGGAGTCTGCCCTTTGTTTGATCGATTGAATATTCGTGGAGTCTTGAGTGTGAATCGTCGAATGGAAAGAACGCGGACGGGAGTTGATCTCGGCTTCGGATGTTCGAATAGATCGACGCCGTGGGAAACCGGGACGTTGCTTACTACCGTGTTGTTGAAATCTTGCAGCAAGGATTGTATCTGGGCTTCGTCGAGGCCTTCGACCAGCTCGAAGAGTTGGTCCACCGAGGAAATCAAGTTCGGGCGCGAGGCCTGAGTCATGGCGATGGCTGCCATCCTGCTCCGTTGAGCCTCAAAGGGCAAATGGATAAAACATCTACAGAGCAAGTTCACAGGGGAATGACGGGAGAATAACAGGAGGCTACGAATAAGGAGTACGGAATGATGGGGAAATTACAAGGTCCAGAGTGGAGTTGCCATTGGTGGGCCTGAAACCGTCAAGCGACGGCACGTAACCACTGTAGGCTTAGTAAATTTAGCGCCGTCCCGCAGATTTCGATCTTCAGTTCAGCGCTCTCAATGGTCTGGATTAATTTAAAAATAATAAACAACTTGAAATAATTTAATAAATTATGAAATACTATTAAATACTATTATTTATATATAGCTATATATATATATATGACGGGAGATAGCAGTTCCTCCTATATTATCTTGTTTAGAGCAAGGTTATATCTCAAGGTTGTTACCTATGGACAGCAGAGTTGAGGACAGCAAGGTTGAAGTCAGAAGGGTTGAATTGAAGCTTACAGCAAAGGTCAGAGTGCAACAACCATACTGTTCAGCTATTGTTTTATGGTTCTGGACGGAGCACTAAGTGTTTATATCTATTGCTTGAAGATTATTGTATGGCTTTAATCTATCTGAGGATATTGAGTTAAGCCTAAAACAAACCAAATAGATCTCTAGTACTTAAGTGCTCATCTTATAGACACTTTCCTTTAGTTGTTTTAGTTGCGCAAAGTTCTCACTGGATTGCCTTAACATCGTTTACC